TTCAATCTTGATAAAAACAGATTTCACTTCTACAGATTATAGAATCACTTGTAAGAATGTTATTTGTGTTGCCTAGTCAGTTTCCACATTCTGTATTTAAAGGAATAGTTCACCAAAAAAAATTATAATAAATAATCTGCTGAAGATTTACTCACCCCCAGTCTAGCCCAGTTGTACATGAGTTTGTTTCTTCATCAAATCATATTTGGAGAAATTTAGCATTTTATTACTTGCTCACCAATGAATCCTCTGCAGTGAATGGGTGCCGTCAGAATGAGAGTCCAAACAGCTGATAAAACATCACAATAATCCACAAGTAATCCAGGTGACTTCATCATTAAGACAATTTTAACTTAAATTGCTTTCGACTGAAATACAAGCCCTCTATCCATAGTAATGCCTTTGCCCGTGAAAAAGTTTTGTCGTCTGAATCAGGAGAGATGTACTGTATGCACAGATCAAGCACTGTTTACAGTCCAAAACGGTTCTAAACAAATATGTCTGTGGATTTTGATGTGAGAGGACAACAGGGGATGGACTTTATCACCACTGAAGGAGGCCTTATCATGAATTATGGACTCAAACATTATTGAGGGCCCACTAAGGTCCCAGGCCCCGTGAATTTTTGAGGTAGCCCTGTTGATTTCAAGTGACCAAGATCAGCCTTGTTGAAGTCCATGGGAACCTGTGGTTTCTCTCATACTTCTTGACCCCTCCGCACCACACCACATTGGCATTCTGTTTGGTGGGACAAGCAGTAAGAGGGGGAGCGTTTTCAAAGCCTTGACATTTTTATGTGAATGTGGTGAACCACATTTGATTTGTGAAAGATTCATGGCTGGGTGGAATTTTGGGCTGCAGAATAAATGGTGGGTTTTGCATGTCTCTCGCTTTCAAACCGAAGATTCAGCCTGTGGCCATACAGAGGATAAAGGTTAACAGCAGGAATTATTTCTAGCAAACCCCCTGACCTATTTACACAGAACTGATAGTTATTTTATGTGATTCAGGCTTTAGTTTTGTAACATTTCAAGGATTAACTTGACAGAAACGCATATTTATTTCTAGTACTTCAGATATTTAGAGCAATTATGTATTCTTTTTGTTTTTGAATGTTTCTAGGACATTATTGAAATGATGTGTGCCATCATTGAACAGCTGGATTTGTCAATCTTACAATAAATGCAAGATTCCAAGAAGCCATCTGGCACCTAGGTTTCTTCCACATCTGCCTCGTAGAGAAGACACTTACAATTTGCCCTCATCTGTAAACGCTTTGCTAATTGGTTAAGGAAATATCTTTACTTGTTTTCCTTACTGTGAATGTCACAAAGACAAATCAGTGGAAGACTCTGCCCTTTTAGCAATCATATTAGTGAGATGCTTGAGCACTTTATTGAAATGAAGGACGTATAAAAACAGACGTATAACTTCAAACCTGTAGAGCCTGTGACTGCAGAACTTCCACCCACAGCTCATTCCTTGCATCTTGTTTCAGCTCCAATGGGATCCTGTTCAAAATTCCTCAATCTAGAGCGAGCAAACAAATGAGCAATCAGCGAAAACCCAAAAGCAGAATGTAGCAAAACAAAATGAGCCTATTACAATGCAGACTACTACATAAAGCTTATAACTGCTGCTTGAGAACGGTTAAGAATAATTGCCCGCTGATCAACAGAGTTCACATTCCAGTCCACAGAGATCCACTTCTGGATCAGCATGTCCATGTTCATGCCAGGATAAATACCTGTTTTTATTTCTTGTGCCAGAGGGAAAAAATATGCATCTGGGTTGATTTGCAATGTCTGGCAAGTAGCGAATAATGCTCCACCTCTTCGGAAAATTGGGAGCCACTGTCTTTTCCTGACTTGTGCCCTTTGAGTGCTCTGGGGATCTAAACCAAACCTGCTCTCGGTCCGGTCTCAAAGTTTTGCAAAAAATTTTCATTTCAGGCTGCAATTTTATCATGTTTATTATTAAGAAATTATCTTACCATTTGGCCTACACCCTCATTCCACAGTCGAACTTTATTACAGTCAAACTTTATCAAAGATTATTCATTCTCAGCTAGCTGACCATGTTAAAGATAATAAGGTTTTTATGCCTCGGATAACAGATATTCAACACTATTAACACAATGTCTAACACTATTAACACAACACTAGAAGAACTAAAACTTAATAATAATAAAAACCTCCAAAAATGAAACTTCTGTCAACATTTACTTTAATTGTATGGAAAAGAGCAGCTTGGACATTCTATAAATAGCTTCATTTGTGTTACAAAAAAAATTAAATAAAGGAAGTCAAATAATAACAGAATTTTATTTTGTACTATTTCTTTAATATAACTTTTTTTATTCAAGTTTCGATAGCGCTGGACATTAAGCCTGCGTGTTTAGTCTGTATGACAAATGTTAAAAATGCAGATTGTTATTAAATAAAGGCTATTATGTGTTGTAATGTGTGTGTTTTAGTGACTAATAAACAGCAGTCAATAATTTTCTTAAACTCAGTATAAAATGTAATTTAACTAGTTCCGCAGCAATTTCTTATGATGCCCAAATAATCAATCTTAGTTTAGGTATGAAACACATAGAGTAAATGGTAAAATTTTAATTGACAATATTTACTGTTTTCTAAACGGTAAAATAACCATGATTCCCACTATTCCTTGAAATGTAAAAAAAAATTAATTCCAATAAAAATAAAATGAATATGCATTTGAAACTTGCACAATGCCATACTTCTAAAACACATCTTTAAGCACATCCTTGATTTCCAACATTAATGCATTTGTGTCTTGTAGTCCTTGATTGACTGGTGCCCTTTTCAGACCATATTCTGCCCTCAATTTGCAGATTCAGTTTTCACAGTTGGATATGGGAAGAGCGGAAACAGAATGTGGTTTTTGCTAAATAAATAAAGAAGTAAAACTTTGGTCACTGTTAGACTTAGTCTTGGAGACTGAAATCAAACAGAATCCAAATGGCTATATTCACAAGATTATTAAGTGAATGGGAGAATGGTGCTCTAAATGGAAAATCCCTGCTGTAGCCAAGCACCCGACTCCTGGTTGACATTTCTGAACACCACATCTTTGAAATGACAAAGAAAAAAATGACACACTTCATCTGTCCATGTTAAGGTTCCAGTGTCAATAGTCTAATAATGAGCTTCTCAAAAGCTAAACCCCTGGCTGATGACATAATGAGAGAGACCTGGGTGGTTCAAAACTTTTCTAACTTGAGCTTATTGATGTGGCTGATATGTGACACTATTCTCCATTTTGACATCAATCAGTTCCAAGCGCAATCAAGTCTTTGGGCTGTAAATATTTTTTGCTATCCAGTGTCCTCTTACTTGAAAGAGAAGATTAAAAACAATTTTACTTGAAACCGCTATTTTCATTTTAAATTTGTCATATTTTTTTTCTTATCTGGGGCAAATGTTTCCACCTCAATCACTTCATCATACACTCAGTTTTGCAATTTTCCATAAATTCAATGGCATTCAGGGAGTATGAGGTTAGTTCTGGGGTTTCCAATTATTTTGAAAGTTTTTTTGTGTGTTTTGTTTTGTTCTGTTGTTCCAAGAAAAAAAGATCATGGTCATGGTCAACAGACATCTGACAGCAACATCTTTTGTGCCTCATTGTACTGTAAACATCAGTACAATGATTACGCAGCACAAAACAATTATTGACATTTTTACAATTAAAACACATGTGACAACTTGCCCCAACCTGTCATTTATGAACAAATATCCTTGTTCTGAAAGCATTGTTAAAGGGGTCATAGGATACCCATTTTCCACAAGTTGATATGATTCTTCAGGGTCTTAATGAAAAGTCTGTAATATACTTTGGTTAAAATTTCTCAATGGTAGTGTAAAAAACACATTTTTTATCCTGTCAAAAACAGCTCTTTTCAGATCAAGCCGTTTTTGTAGCATTTTACTTTAAATGTTAATGAGCTCTGCTGGTCCCGCCCCTCTCTTCCGAGCTGCTCTCAGAGAGACTGTTTACTTTATGCCGAGTTCACACTGCACGATTTTCAAACTCGTCGGATCGCCGTTGTTTTCACACTGCGTGACTATCTGGGGTAGCATTCAGTTGCTGCTGTGTTCACATTGCACGATGGATCGGCGACACAAACAACTTGTAAAACTGCATGTAGCATCCTATGACCCTTTTAAACTGACCAGTCCAAATCTTGTTTAAATGTAATGTGGTTTAACTGTGGTCACTTGTTTAAACAACAACTATAGTGACAAGAGAATAATACTCGAATTTTAGTTTAGGACAGAATGCACTAAAATGATATTGTAATTAAACAATAACTGAACTACGTTGTTGAACTAAGTGTTGAAAGAGGAAGCACCCATTTTCAAAACCTTGTATTTATTAAGAAATAGCCTGTGTGACAACCAGCAACTTTCCCTTTTACTTCACATTACAATTCCTCGTGCATGTCATATAGAGAGTTTTGATTTAGGCCTAATTAAACCATATTGTTGCTATGTATCGTAAAGCAATTCAATGCATATTAAAATCCAGTCAATATATACATAAGCTGTTCAGTCTTTGAGAAGAAATCATTGCTTTAAACAGCCATATCACCGCTGTGGTCAACATCACGTTTTTCTCTTGCCTTCTTTAATATCACTATGTAAAAATATTGCTGTTAGTCTGAATCCAAACCACAAGTGTGGAGCCACTCTAGTTTGCCAGGTTGAAAAAATTTTTAAGCAAACACAGACACCTGTCTTCAATCTACAAAACTCTGGTTTAGTGGAACATTAGATAGTATGTTCAAGGTCAGACCTAAGAGAGCAGGGAAAAACAAAATCGCAAATGCTGAATCAGGTATCTGTCTTTATCATAAGAATGACTAAATTAGTATTTAATGCATGAATACTTGTCATTAGCCTAAAGTTACTGTAGGCAGCTGCTCAAACGTAATGTGTTCGTTTGTAATATAATGGCTTGCTTACGCTTTTTTCCTTCCGGTTAACCCGTTTTCTTAAAAATTAAGCTTTAAATAACAGCACCATCTTTATATCAGAGAAATGCAGCTCTCAGGCCGGTGGTAAGAGTGATTCACACTCACCTAAGAGCAGTGTGCTTCATCAGGGAGGGGTTATTTAGTCACCCGCATGTTTCCGTCAGAAACACACTGTGCTGAAGCGGTTGCTCTGAGCGCGTGCGTCCGCCGGTGGAATGTACCGCCGTGAAACTACGAATCTATTCATCTGCATTTCGTCATTTAAAACGACTTATTATCCTCTTATGGGGAACTATTTTTTTTTAACCTAGCCGAACCTGCATTACCTTTTTCTTTTAGTAAAGATGACCAGACGCTCGTATGGAATATATGGATACGACGATGCACCATTTTTCTTGTAGGCTACATTCACCAGTTATAATACATCATTTCATTTTTAACTGTAGTAATTTACATTTTTCTATAGTTAAAAGTAACATTTACTTTTGTTTATTAAATGATTTATTTTCTTTTGTTTACAAAATATTACATAAAAAAAAGTTTTTTAACTTTTACGCACGCAGGCAATCTTGTTTTTTGTTTTTTTTTGACATGATGCTTTAATCCCAATGGATATTCGTTAATGACGGTAAGCAGTTGTATTGGTCTTTACTAAGTTGTAAGTAGATGCTGTGTCACAGGAACCCAACTTTGTTGTAACATGCAATTTATATCTTTTCTGGATCAGTGCTTTTAAATGCATCCATGCAACCAACTAAATATGCCTCACTATAAAATGACTCACTGTAGCATTCTTCAGGGCAGATGTTGACTCCAGGACGAAAGCATAACATTGAGGGGTCAAATGCAGGCGAATGAACCTTGAGGAATGTTTTTAAACGATTTGTGGCTGTCAGTAGCCTCTGTCAGAACATGTTTCTCTCAGCTGTAATGTTTGGCGTGGCCCTGAATAGATCTTCCCTATTTTTTATTTTATTTTTTTTTAGTTGGCAATATGATTGTATGGCAAACAGATATATAAATGTAATTTAGCATTCTGAGACTAAATCTAAAATAGTTGCACATGTTTGTATGTTTTAAAGACTGCATGAAATTACTTGGGATAATGATACATTTCCTGTTTGTGCAGGAAGTTTGGGTGGGGGTGCTTTTTAAAATGGTCAATGAAATAAAAATATACCAATACATTTATAGTAAAATTGGCCAGCCATGGTTTCAGGAATTCACCATTTAAAAAAAAAATAATTACAGGATTGCAAGATATTACAACTTATAACAATGTATTTCATTAAGTGATATAATGTTAATATATTAAACTCAAAATACTGAACACCACCATAATAATGTAGGTGGTATAGAAAAGAAACATGATCACTGTACACTTAAAAAAATAGTGTCGAAAAAATTTTCACTCAGAAATTGCTGGTAAATTTCACAAATGTTTACAAAGAAGCGGCAAGTAACACATTGAATTAAATGTGAATTTTTGAAGCAGAAAGACAGTGTATTTTCTTGGCAAATGTACTCCAATAATCTTCGAAAAATATTTTTTCCCTGTCCACAAAACAGAAAATGTAACACAAGAATGTAGGATACATTTGAGTATTTTTCTGTAAAAACATACAAACTTTTTTGTTGCATTATAGTACTGCACATATAGCTACTGTTCACTGTATGTGGATGATCTGTAAAAAAAAATGACGTACTACATTTACTGAAAGTTATCTCTTTCTTGACACATGAATTGATTGGCGTGACAAAACATATTACATACAAAAATTACAGTGTTTATTTCAAAGATTATTAATAGACGGCACTCGCTACATTAAACATGCTATGTGATGTGACAATCACACTAATACATTTTTTTATATATTTATGCTCTGTATTTTTAAAAATGATTAAAAGTATTCAGTAAGCAAAAAAAGTTGTACCTTTAAAATGCACTTAATGGCTACACTACTCATTTTGATTTCTTGGTGTCTTTCAAATGATCTGTTCTAAGACATATTTCTCCATCCTATCAGCAGCTCTACATGAAGATGGGAGCCCCGCACCCAAACACTCCTCTGAGTTAGACATGCATCACTGCAATTCATCAGGCGCTGCGCCACTCAGCCCATTTTCCAATGACAGTCAATGGGAAGGACAGCCGACCTCTCCATCACTTGCCGACTCCGAGAATGTCACCTCGGAGAGAGCGATCCTGAGCGGCCCTATAGCTGCGATGCTCTCGATGACCCTGGGGATCCTGTCCAACATTGTAGCTTTACTCATCCTGGCAAACGCATACGCCCGTCTACGTCGACGATCCAAGGCATTTCTCCTGTTCGCCAGCTCTTTGGTGGCCACGGACTTTGTGGGGCATGTCATACCTGGTTCAATAGTTATGAGGCTGTATCTTTCTGGAGGTGTACCCTCTGAAGAATACAACCGGGCGGACCCATTATGCCAGTTTCTAGGAGGCAGCATGGTGTTTTTCGGACTGTGTCCGCTCTTTCTTGGTTGCGCCATGGCAGCTGAGAGGTGTTTAGGGGTGACAAAGCCACTGCTCCATGCTTCGCTGGTTACAACCACAAGGACTAAGCTCTCACTTTCTGTTATCTGGTTAGCAGCTCTTTGTGTTGCTCTTCTGCCCTGCTTTCAGCTGGGTTCATATACCTACCAGTATCCTGGAACCTGGTGTTTCATTAAAGTGCTGGAGGACACAGAGAAGGCAGACGTGGCCTTTGTTATGTTGTTCTCAGGACTGGGGTTGACATCCCTTGCTGTTGCTTTGGTGTGTAACACCATAAGTGGACTGACGCTAGTGTTAGCGAGGATACGAAAGAAACCCTGTAACCGTCGATCAGCTAGATCCCATGATATTGAGATGGTGGTGCAACTTGTAGGCATAATGGTCACATCTTGTATCTGCTGGAGCCCTCTTCTGGTGAGTATGAGCAGTGGGTTTAGTAGCCCCATCATGAAAATGGGCCCTATATATGCTGGCATAATAGTAAAGCCATAAAACCACTACAAACATGAAAACTGTCTTGAAAGAAATAAGTAAAGAAAGCTCACTAAATAACACACTGTAGTTAAAATCAGTGAAAACCAAGCACAAAAATATAAATTGTAGGTACAGGTAATTTAAATATGGCACATATGCATATAGGAACATACATGTATGTAAACTAATAAACGTAAGTAAAGACTATATAGGAAGTAGATCTTTAGTAGACAAGTTTGGTTAATTAATAGAGTAGGCTAATTGACCACATTTTCACTCAGATTGTTTGCGTTTTTATGTTGACAGTCTTTGAAACGGTTGCCCTGATATTCTTGAAAAAACGTGACAAGACTTTGGCAACCAAGTGCTTTTTCTGCCACGCAAACGTGCTTAAAACAAGAAGAAAAGAAAGCATCTCAAATAGCCACAAAGCAATGGTTTCTGTGACCTATTTTGTGCATTTCCAACAACTTGAGCACTTTTGAGGAAGGTTTGAATCTGTGGACAATGCGGTTCTCCATATAAATGAAAAGTTTAAACAATTGAATAGAAGCCCATTTATGCCACAGAGTAAACAAAATTGCAAAGCTAATTGCAATTTTATATATAAGCTGCAACTTGGCATGTCACATTGTGATTTTTATATTTATATTTTATATTTATTTTATATTTCTTATTTTTAAATATATCTTATGACTACTTTACATTTTTTATCTGCGGCAGAAACAGCTTTCAGTGTCTAAATTTTATTGTTATTATTATTTAAATGAAGCACATAACTTAAGGTATCAAACTCAAGGTATAAATCTCAGCTTTTTTGGGCACAGTTCATAACAAAATGACATAGAATAGTATAAGTATATGAACTGGAAAGCACCTCATATTTTAATAGACTGGACTATGGATTTCTTAGACCTGCATGGATATTTTGTCATAATCCTTATGGTGTTTTGTCTTTGTCTCTTAACTTTAGATTGTTGGCCTAATTACAGTGAAACAGTCATACGAGGGCTCTATTGGAGATGACCTTGCCACCTTTAAGACCCTTATGATAATGGGGGTGCGGATAGCATCCTGGAACCAGATACTGGACCCATGGGTCTACATTCTTCTTCGTCGTTCCGTCCTCCAAAAGATTTACTTCATTACCAAACGTCCAACAGACTTTAAGGAAAGCACTTTTCGCTGCTGGGAGATCCATTCCTTCCCCAGCTCTGAGAAGAATCCTGTCAGTAGAGTCTGAATCTGAGTGTGCATCAATAACAACAGGAGGCCTACTCAGTGTCAGTCAGCTCTACCCCAGAGGATCTCACTAGGCCCCTTTATTACAGCATGTTCTGCAATCGCTATGTTAAAAGGGGTCATATGATGCTGCTAAAAATAATATTATTTTGTGTATTTGGTGTAATGAAATGTGTTTATGCGGTTTAAAGTTAAAAAACACATTATTTTCCACATACTGTACATTATTGTTTCTCCTCTATGCCCCGCCTTTTTGAAACGTGTTGATTTTTACAAAGCTCATCGGTCTGAAAAAGCGAGGTGTGCTGTGATTGGCCAGCTATCCAATGCATTGTGATTGGCCGAATACCTCAAGCGTGAGACAGAAATGTTACGCCCCTCACATGACTCTGAACTTTTATAAAGAATATCTCTTTGGATTTGAGACTTTAGTCTTTGCAACTTTACAGATCTTCTTTATGCACCAAGAGCTTGTAGCACTCCAAAGAGAAAGGAAAAATTGAAATCGCATCATATGACCCCTTTAAGAATGTATTTATTTTAGCAAATTTGCACTAAGATAAATAAAGCATGAGATGAACATTCCATTACTCCCTGTAAAACACTAATAATAAGGATTTGGCTGGAAACTTTCATGCAATTAGCTATTTGCTGTCTTGGGCCCTCAATACAGAAAATACACTGGTGATAGTAATTGAAGCATTCATTCAGCCAGTGTTGAAGCTTTAGGTCTGGGACAGTGTTTTTATGTGTCCCTAGTTGTTCCACATGATGACGGCCCTGGGCATGAAAACCGACATGACAGTAACAAGAGGCGCAAAAAACATTTTAATCTTTGTTTTACTGAAAAGAAATGTTCACGTAATCAGATTTTGTACAGCATGATCATCAACAATATATTAACTGTGAGGTAAACTCATATTTTATGTGGTGAACATTATTTCCCCTCACAGAAGGGATAAGACAGTTTTCCTTTATGTTTGTCTTGCAAATATGTTACTGTGCAAAAATGCTCATGTGAATGATAATGTTCATATTGTTGTATATTTTATTTATCCCTCCAATTTTCTGGAGGCTTTTAATGTTGTTATTTTACATTGAAAAGCATTATAATAAAACAAAGCAAGCTTATTGTATTTGAATTTAATTTCTGTTGCTACCTAATTTGATGCATGAAGCTCAATAAACCAAGCTCTCTAATTTATAAACAAACAGAATATTCCAAAAGCCAGAATAATGATTCCCAGGCAGTACTGTTAATGATCACTGGTTAATAATTTTAATTTGTTATCCAAGACCTATTCAACATGTTGTAATGTATGAGGTAAGCTGTCGTTAAATAGTTTAATACAAGATTTTATGCACAAAACAGTTCAAAACTGGTAGCCTACCAGACCATTGTATAGTAATTGTAATTGACAAATTTGAATAATAATGTGACAACCTACCCCAAACAAAACATAAAAAATAATACACATGAAAATGCACTGCATAATAGGAATGACCAATGAATCGTTCCTGCAGGGTGTGTGTGCATTCTTTTTACAAGGTGTAAAAAAAATTGTCCCCAATAAATGGAGTTCCTCATGTCTCCGCTAGGCGAGGAGAAATTTGAGTGCGCATGCGCTGCGGGGTCAGTGCATGGCCCGGAAGTGGAGCTTTTTACGCTTCCATCCATTGAGTAAATTGAGTGAATGGTGAGTACAACAAATTTGTTTAGCTATGTAAAGAAATACATGGACACGCGATATTAAAATCTACGTTACGCGATCTTAAAGACGTCTGCACATTTTGGTTGTACTAGCAGCTGTGCTGGTAAATATGAATCGTTGTTTTCGTACAACGTAAATCGGTTATTCAAATGACTCGCCGTGCGCGTGCTTCACCGATATCAGATGTTTTGTACAGACGCGATAGATGCTTTATTTTGAAAATGTGTCTCATTTTTGCAGTTTTATGAAGTTTCAGTTTTAATAAGAAGTCCGCCGGGAACCATTAATTGTCTGGCTTGTTAACTTGATAACTCCATGAGTGTTTGAATCCTTTATTTACTATGAACGTTGTGCGACTTGCATAAGTTACAGGTGATTGTTTGAAGAAAATGGATCAAATGGGGAATTTTCCGAGGCGGAGGGAAGGACCTCTTCCTCCTCGACCACCACCTGCCTGGGACGAGCACCAGGCCTACGAGGAGCTGCTGCACTGGGATAATATGATGCAGGATGGTTACCGCCTGCACCCGCAGGACTACGACCGGTAAAACACCTCATACTTCAAAAATGTGATGTTGGGAATGCTCTAAACAGGTCTTCCATGGCCATGAAGAAATCCTGTATGTAGAAAATGTTATAATTGTGATTTCAAGGCTTGGAAAAATAAATCTCAAAATCATTCATATTATAATTTTTATAAATGTGTTTTTATTATTATAGTGAATTGGGGAGAAAAAGGCTAGAAATGTATTTTTATGCTAGTTCTATTATACCTTTTTTTACCCAAGTTTCATGGATAAATGTCTTGGAAATTTAATGATTAAAAGATGGGGACCCTCTTTAAATACAGTACTTTTGAGTGACTTTGTCATACGTTGGATAAGCTGCGGGTCATAATTGAGGGGCATAGACACAAAGTAAATGTTGCATTATATCCAACTATATTACTGTATATTACAATGTATTAAAGAAAAAAAAAATTAGTGCTGGGCTAGCACGATTAATCGCATCCAAAATAAATGTTTTTGTGTACATAATATATGTGTACTGTATATATTTATGCATATATAAATACACACATGATGTATATATTTAAGAAAAATATGTTGTTTATGTATTATATATATATATATATGTTAATACATGTAAATATTTTCAAAATATACACTGTATGTGTGTCTTTATATATATATATATATATATAATCATTGCCCAGCACTAATTTTTTGATTGTAAATTATTTTTTAATCAAATTCAATGTTTTACATTTCAATGGAACAATGGAACTTTAAAAATGTTAACAAAAATCTAAAATGAATATATGCTTTAATGGAATATAAAATCCCCCCCCCCATTTTTCCCTCCTATTGTAATATGTACATTGAGGGCCAAATCAAAAGTCATCAAAGGCCAACTTTGGCCCACGGGCCCTGGTTTGGGCATGTCTGGTATATAAAGATGCAATGAAACTAAATTCTTGTTGCAGGTATGAAGAGTTGCGTTATTGGTATGACTGCTTGTGTTATGAAGAAGACCTCAGGCAGTACAACCAATACGTTGTTGATTACAGGAAGTGGGAAGAGGAGAATCTGCACCCAGAGGACGTATGTTACTCTGATATATATTACATTTACAATGCAAATTTGTTCTTGTTCTCCCTTTCTCTCTCTGGGAGACTAGTTCTCATGTTTTTTTTAGATTCAACTGCTAATAGGCCCTTTTCACATGACGTCACGCAACTTCCGTTCTGACGCGAAGCAGGGTATTCTTACTTCCGCCAGCCTAGTAAAGCACTATCGCTACCAGCATGGAGTTCACCAAGACGCTTGAACAACTGCCACAAATACGATTAGAGGATGACTGCTGCTGTCTATTTTCGTCCTCATTCAGGGAGAGGCGTCTCGCATCTCAAACGAACTTACCGAATACCAATCGGCAAGATTTGCTGCTTGAAGTCGAGGAGGAGTTGAAAACGGAGCACTGCAGTCACTGATTCCCGCGACTCTCGCGCACTGTTTGCTGTCTTTATTGCAGGAGATTTGCTGCTTGAAGTCGAGGAGGAGGTGAAAACGGAGCACTGCAGTCACTGATTCCCGCGACTCTCGCTCACTGTTTGCTGTCTTTATTGCAGTTAGATGAAGTTGGTTAGATATATTTCTCAAATAAACAAACGTTTTAGACATTTACATGTGGTAACAGAAAGCCTTTTCATTCAGTAATTTATGTCCTGCTTAATACAGCGCCTGTATGTTCAAGAATAGTTCAATGTAACAAGCTTGTACTATTTAAATATCAATAAAATGGGGTCTATAATTTTCCGTTTTATTATTTATTGTAATTCAGAAATATTAAATATATTAAGTTTATATAAAAAGCTTTTACATTTAAAAACAGATGCCAGCATTTGTGTAAATAAATATAAAAACGCAGGTCATAGCTGTTTTTTAAAGATCACATTGCATATCGCCTATAACGAAAATAAAATACGATCGATCATATTAATCAATAATAAATCACAAAGTAAAAACACGGTATACATGTAGTTAAAGCAAAATAGAATGGAGGAATTTAAAGAGCAGGTCATATGGGTTTTTGAAAAATATCTCTTTTGCAGTTTATAACGTAGCTTTCCTTAAATGAAAACACTCTGCAAAGTTGTTAATCAAAAAAGTGCATGATAAATAAAGATATTGTCTCTCAAAAGAGAGAGTCGGTTCTGAATCGCCTAAACGAGTCTATTTTTGAGTCTTTTGCCTGTTACCGGTATACGTCACTGGGTAACACATTTGCATAATCCCCGCCTGTCCGCGAAATACGAACAGAGGCCGTTTCTCAATATGTGTTCTTCAGCGATCTCAGTAGCCCCTCACTGCAGAACAAAAATCCAGGGGGCGGGGTTGGATCCACATCTACGGGGTGGAGATGTTAGGTTTAGGGGTGGAGATGGGTAGGTTTAGGGGTGGAGATGGGTGGGTTTAGGGATCAGGTATGGTTCAGTTGGAAGATTTCGCCAGTGCTGTCCCGCGAACGCGAGGTCTGACTTTCCCGGAGAAGTGTCACCTCTCTCGGCGTCTGTTCTGTGCAGTGAGCGGCAGAGAAGCAGCGCATTCAGTTGGCTGCACCGCAGCCGACTCGTCAATAAATACTGTAAAAAATACTGAGAAATACTGAAAAAGCCGAGCTCCTGGAGGCGTGCCGTGGGCGGAGCTAAAGAGTAACGAGCACTTGGGCGCCGAATGCCAACAAAACAGCGATCTTGCGTCCTTGTGTTCTCGCTCTACGTTAGTGCTGGGCGGTATACCTGTTCATACCGAATACCGGTGTTTATTTTTGTTATGATATGAATTTTTAAAATACCGCAATACCGGTGTATGTTGCTTAAACAACGTTCGGAACGCGACACTGTTTGAGAGGG